ACACATATATATATATATATATAATGTATATATATAATGTATATATATAATGTATATATGTATATATGTGTGTGTGTGTATGTATATACACACACACACAAACAGCACATTTTATATTGGTGAGTTATTTTGATGGAATGGCCGATGTTCGATATTTCACATTATCGCTAATATCGGCCGATACCATGCCAATAATATCGTGCATCCCTAAAACATATAAAACAGGCAGAAGATGGTCAGAAATTGAAAAACTCTGAGTTAAGAGTTGCTTAAAAAAAGTAAATCAATGGGATTTGTAAAAGAAAATTTCTATGTGTGGAAGTATTTTATTATGACTTAAGGTTCATTTAAAGCAAACTTACCAGAGGTCCAGGTTTGCCAACATCACCCGGTGTGCCACGTTTACCCTGATCAACAGAAAATGTATTAGCCCTCAATACTGGATTTTCAATGTTTACTTTTAAATCTGATGGTTTTATTTCTTACCAAAGGACCAGTTGGTCCGATTCTGCCCCTTTCACCCTGCAAACCAGCTGGTCCCTGTAAAAGAACATGGGTTCTGGTGTTTAGTTCTATATCATTGATTGTGATTGGGCTTTATTGTATCTGTTGCCTACCTGTGGCCCAGGAGGACCCATTGAACCAGGAGTACCAGATGTACCCTGCAAAACACAAAAACACAAGTATGAACATCCTGTTTTATAGAAATTATCCATGTAACCTTTGATTTGTTGTTTATTTATAGATATCATTCATTTTTAATGACTTCCTGCCACTTTGAGAACCACAGGCTCAGGAAACGGAATCATACCTTCACACCGACTGCTCCAGACTCGCCTTTTGGCCCACCAAGACCAGAACTTCCCTGTTGGGTGATTTAAACGTCATTTTTTGGGGGTCTTTTTCTACATAAAAGTCACAAGTTTATATTTAGAAGTGAAGCTTTACTTTGTGGCCTTTCAATCCAGGAAGACCTGGAAGTCCGGGGAACCCTCTTGCGCCCTACATTAACAACAGATAGATAGATAATTTATTAAGGTTAGGCATCCAGTATCATGCTCTAATTATACAAGCAAAAAAGACATGAAATAATAATCTAAAAAAAGAAGCAGAATACACAAATTTGGAAAAAGACTATACATATACACATGCACAAGGTGTTAAATTCATGTTT